AAACTGAGTTTTTTTTAAATAAAGTTTTTTTTATTTTTAAACACAAACATACACATACAAAAACATAAAATTCTCTTCCATTTTATATATATACAGTGTGCAGTTGGTTATGTATCTTTTGTGCTATACTTTTGTAGTCATTTACTCACAATTTATATCAGTCTTCACATTGTTAAACTAACATATGCTTATATATTTATCAGTTATTAATCATCCATGACTAAACTATTTATTCCATCGTTTTATACGAGATGTTCCAAGTTTTATCTTAAAATTTATGTTATACTTTCAACCAGTGGTTATATATATATCTATATTATGTTTTATATCAATCTATTAGATTTATATCACAAAATTATCTAGTCTATTATATTACCATGCCTTTTTATCCAACCATTGATAAAACAAATCCCATATCATATAAAATTGCTTATCTTCTTGTCCTCTAATTTCAAATGTCAGTTTACTCATTTCAGCACAGTCCATAATTTTTTTGATAACTTCCTCCTGCATAGGTATTTTGTCATTTTTCCAGTTCTTCGCAAATACAATTCTACCCGCTGTTAACATTTACAATCAAATATTTCAGTTCTTTATTGTATATGTCCGGTATGACTCCCAATAAAAAGATCTCTGGTTTAAAGTCTATATGTTGTTTTATCATTTTTTCCAACCATGTGTGGATTTTAGTCCAATATTTCTTTGCATCTGAACATGTCCACCACATATGGTAATATGAACCAGGTATCTGATGACATTTCCAGCATTTATCCGATTTATTCTTGAACATTCTCGCAAGTCTCGTCGGGGATAGGTGCCACCTGTAAAACATCTTATACAAATTTTCTTTATATGCAGTTGACATTGTCATTTTATAATTTTGAGGCCACAGTTTTTTCCATTTTTCCAAATCAATCCCATATCCAAAATTTCCCCCCCAAGCAATCATCGTTTCTTTAACTTGCTCCTCCTCCTATTTAAATTCTAATAGATGTCCATAAAGTTTTTCTAATTATCTTTTCATCAATACCCATCAAAATTTTATCTAAGTCAGTCAACTTATCATAAATACCTTCTGCCTTGGAGTCTTTATCAAACCTAGATTGTATTTGCGAATAAGAAAACCAATTCATTTTTACACATTGTTCTTCCAACGTTTGCATAGATTTCACCCTTTTCATTCAATAACTCCCCATATCTAACTGTTTGTTCCTTTTTATATATTATTGGATAAGAAAAAGCTTCAATAGTTGATATCCATGTTGGAATTTTTCAATAATATTGTCTTTTTATCTTCTCCCAGTTCAAAACCAATGCCTCACTAATAGGATGTCTTCTAAAATACCCCTGTGTTTTATACCAGAGAAAGGCATGCCATCCCAGCAGCAAGTCATGGCCTTCTAAAGTCAATAATCTACTGTTCCTTAGTGTTATCCATTCCTTTACCCACATCAAACTTGTCGCCTGGTAATACAGCTCCCAATTAGGTAAGGCAAACCCTCCTCTTATTCTTGCATCTTGTAACAGCTTTAATTTTATTCTTACTTTTTTACCCTGCCAAATATATTTCAACACAATTATATTTAAATCTTCAAAAAACTCTTTCCCTAACCGAATAGGAATTGTCTGGAATAAATATAAAACTCTAGGCAATATATTCATCTTAATTGTGGATATTCTCCCAATCAATGATAGTTGCAATTTTTCCCATTTTATCAAGTCTGTCGCAATCTGCTGTTTGAGTTTAACATAGTTATCTTCCTTCAGGGTACTGCATCTTGGTGTAATATAAATCCCTAAGTATTTAACCTTGTTCGTGACCTGTATTTTTAAAGTTTCTTCCAACTCTTTCTTTCGTCTTGTTAACATATTCTTTGTTAATATCTTTGTTTTGTCTTTATTTATTCTCAAACCTGCTACTTTCCCATATTCTTCTATTTTTTCTATTAATTTGGGTGCTGTTTCCATTGGGTCTTCTAATATAAATACCAGGTCATCTGCAAAAGCTTGCAATTTATACTCCTCCTTTTTAATTTTCATTCCTTTTATTTCTTTTTCTTCTCTGATATTCCTGTTCAACACTTCCAATGTTAACACAAACAGCAGAGGCAACAATGGACAGCCTTGCCTTGTCCCTTTTCTTATATCTATGGATTCTGTTAATTCTCCATTCACCATCACCTTTGCAGTTTGTTCATGATATATTGTTTCAATGGCTTGGATAAATTTCTTACCAAAGCCCATTTGTATCAGTTGCAGTAAAATAAATCGCCAACTCACATTGTCAAAGGCTTTTTGAGCATCTAGAAACATCAAGGCCATTTGCTTCTCAGGGTGTGCTTCATAATATTCCAGAGTATCCAAAATGATTCTCACATTGTCTTTGATTTGTCTCTTTGGCAGAAATCCATTTTGATCAGTATGGATAAAATTATTTAAGTATCTTTTTAGTTTTTCTGCCAAAATTTAAGCAAAGATTTTATAGTCTGAGTTCAATAAAGATATAGGTCTATAATTTTTAACTTGCTGCAGGTCTGTACCTTCCTTCGGTATAAGTGTAATGTATGATTCTGACCATGTTTTTGGTATTCTTTTCTTTAACATAACTTCATTCGTAACTTCTAGAAGATGAAAAATGAATATTTCCTGAAAAGTCTTATAGAATTCCGCTGGCAACCCATCTGGACCTGGTGCTTTCCCAGCATTCGTTTTTTTAAGGCTTCTGCTAGTTCCATCATTGTTATACTTCCTTCTAACATTGTTTCAATATTTTGGGGTATCTGAGGTAAGTTTGCTTTCTGAAGATATTGCTTGATTTTTTCTTCTTGAATATTCTCTTGAAAGTATAGTTTTCCATAGTAATCTTGTATGATTTTTTTTCTCCTCCTCATTTCTATAACAAACCTGTCTTCTTTCCTTTCTCAGTTTATAAGCTAGCCATCTGCCTGGTTTATTTGCATCTTCAAAGTAATTCTGTTTCGCACTTTTAGTTTTTGGTGCTAATTCCTCTTTTTCCATTAGTCCCATTTTATGTTTAATTATATCCATTTTATTTTTAATGTCTTTTTTTTTTGTGGGGACTTCTGTAAGTCTTTTTCCAGTCTTTTATAGTCATCCTCTAATGTCTTAAATGTCTTTTTCTATTTTATGTTTCTTCTCCTAGTATAATCTATTATCAAGTCTCTTGTGTAGGCCTTCATTGTGTCCCAGAGATTGTGTACAGATGTATCCTCTTTTCTATTTTCTTTGAAGAAGAAAACAAGTTCTTTGTCTATTTTCTGTTTAAAGTCTTTTTCTTTCAGAATCATATTATTTAGAGTCCATCTAGATCTCTTCTTGTATCCTTTCCAAATAAATGATACTGGATTATGATCTGCCCATGTGCTTGTTTCTATTTCAATCTGTCGTGCATTAGTCAATAATTCTGCTGACATCCATATCATATCTATTCTAGACCAGGATGTGTATCTATTTGAATAGAAAGTATATTGCTTACTTTCCGTATTTCTCTCTCTCCATGCATCTTTTAAATTAAATTCTTATTCGAAGGAAGGATTTTGGTAGTATCTTTCTAACTTTCTTTGTTGTTTTCTGTGTTTTATAGTCCAACTGGTCATTAATTATTCCATTAAAATCACCCAACATACAGATATTAACACAGTCCAAATCAATTATTTTTGTATGTAATTTCCTATAGAATTCTTCTAGTTTATCATTCGGGGCATAAATTGCAATTAAAAGTGTTTTAACGCTGTTATCTGTTATCTCCACCATCAAAATCCTTCCATCATCATCTGTATAAATTAATTCTGCCAAAATTGTTTCTTTAATATATAATGCCACACCTCTTTTTTTCTATTGTGCCAGCGATGTAAATAATTTCCCTAATTTTCCTTGTTTTAGTATATATTCATGTTGCTTTTTAATATGTACCTCTTGTAAGCATATTATATCAAATTTTAATTTATCTAATTTGTGAAATACTTTCCTTCTTTTAATAGCCGAATTAAGTCCATTTATGTTAATTGTAATCACTTTTCTTTCATCCATGTTAAGCTTTATAAGAGGGTTTTATTGCTCTAGTAGATCTCAATTCTCGTTGTTTTCTGGGTTCACCACCTACTGCACCTTCTTCTTTTTCTTTTTCAATTACTGCTATACACTCCTCTTAGAATTCAATTAGTGACTTTTCCTTTCTTTCTTCTTCCTCCTTTCCTCTAAAGTATTCTAAGTAGAATAGCTCAGCTTTTCCAACTGTGTCAATTCTGTGTTTTTGTTCCTGCCAAGTGAACAAAAGGCCTTCTGGCATCAACCATCTGTACTTTACTCCTCTTTTAAATAGCTTACAATGTTCAAAAACATGAGTTATTTTATCTACTATAAATTTTTAAATTTAAAAAGAAAATCATTACCAAGCATATATTTTTGCCACCAGATCTCTTATTTTTATCTTACATTCCTATTGACAAAATTCTAATATTTCACAACCAGTTAGTCTTTTGTGTTTAATTATCATTTCTCACACATAAAATGCTTCTTGTGCTGAAAAAAATTGTTTGGAGCACAACCTGGACTTCTATTTATTCCACGTTGTTGGAATGGTACACCTAACCCTTTTCAAAATCTCTATTCACTCTTTTTTTATGTTACCATGCAACCCAAAGCTCAGGTTGCATCCTTCTAATTCCAAAGTCTTCTATTTGTTAGAAAAATCCACTCTTTTATCAAAACCAAACAACCAGTTGCAAAATACAAGTTTAACACACAGATATTCCCACAGATAATAAAATATTTGCAGAGAATTCCATGCTATCACACTTTCCTGAACATAGTGGTCTAATAATCCAGCAAAAATATTTATTAATGCTGCAGAAGAAGAGAGGAGAGAAAAGGAACACTGTAAAAGACTAGTGAGGAAAGTAACTCCTCAGTATTTACAGTATTTAACATACATTCATTGTTTGTTTCCAATGTCTAGGTCACAGGTCAAAAAGAAGGCATTAGAAAATTGTCATGTTTTGAAAACCCTCATAAGTGAAAGGAGGAAAAATGGGCAAACACGAAGCCATTTTTGCCAGGCATGCAAGTTGGTTGAGCTCACAGGATGTGGGGTCCTGCAGGTGGCTGAAATAAACACTGTCTGGAGAATACATGGAAGGGTCATCATCAAAATAATTGTATGGTCTCAAGAAAAAACCAACTTCATTCCCAAGGGTTGCAGTATTGGGTATATCCTCAGAATGTGGAATATGTAGAAAACCAGCATTGATCCAGGCAACCAGATCCTATAAAAGGAAAAGGGGCAATATCATTGTGGTATCTCAGATACAACATCTACTAAATAGAAAACGACAGAGGAACAGATTCAGAGAAATCAAACTTATTAATTAAAGCAGCAGATGTAGTAAAATCTGGGATAATCTGACAGCATAATTTTATGTTTGCCCACTCAGAATCTGGGATATGTAGAAGTGGAAAACTGGGAGTACAACATTGTTAGCAAAGATCTTTTATCCATTCTGAAATTTTTTATCAGTCATGGTATTTAAAAAGCCATTAAAAACAAATGCAATCATTAAGGCATAAATCCCATGCATACAAGTTTGGCTCAGTGTATTTTCCAAGGTCACATTACCTCAGCTAACAAGAATGCAAACAGGAAAACTAAGGTCTAATACAGGAAATTTTAATTTGTCATCTGAGCATTTAAGTTGTCACTAAGTCCATTTTTTTTCCTTAAGGGAATGTGCTTCTAAAACCTTTAGCAGCATTAGCCTACTTCCGGACTAAGCTGCAGGTGATAGTCCAACAGGCTACCTTTCTATTCTGGTGTCTTCCAAGTAAGTTTGACATTAACTCAAATGCATTTGGACAGCACCGGGTTGTGGGATAATTACCTGCAAGGTGCTTCAGTGCTCAGTAGGATTCACCTTCACTTACCTCATTGACAATGCTCTCATTGTTTATGAAGTCAGCAAAGGCCACAGGAGGATTCCATGGGTCAACCTGATTGTAGATAGTGGTGCTGAAAGGTTCATTTTCTTTCCTCTTTGTAACAACTAGCTTATAACTTATAAGGCAAAACAAGAAGAGTTCAGAGATTGAGGTTTATTCATTATTATGTTTCTTCTTAAAAATCTTGGAAGTTTATGGTTTCAGGAATAAGTGTTGAAGGGTAATATAACAGCAGGTTTCTATTCCATGATTGCCCACTATAAAATATAGGGCAATTTTTGTTATAATTTATTATAAAAGAACATTTTATAATCAGTACCTCAAATTAGGCCCAAAAGTGCAAGTGTAAAAATTTATAATAACAAGGATTGGATTCTTTAAGTATTCAACCAGAGCAATTTGAAAGACACCCATAGCTCCCAATAGCCAATTTTTTCTACTCCAGATATGGCTATAGCTGGAATAATAGGATGAATTTAAAAATTTATTTCATAATTCTACCTTTAATTTATATTGTTTATATTTACTAAAAGTCAACCTCTCAATAGTTTTTCTCTAAATTTAAAGTTGTTTCCATACATCTCAGAACCTATCTGATTTGGGATTTTCTTGGTCTCTTTGGGACATGTTGAAGTAAATGAAAGATTGTAAGACCCATTTTGCTAGATAGTATTATCCTCCAATAATCTATAGTATTTGTCTTAGATCAAGCTCAGGAAGAGGTCTCAGACTGAGGATAAATTCCTAAAAAGGGAACATTGTAATACTACTCTTCCAAACATGATTACAGATCAAAGCCCAAACATACAAAATTTGTCAAAGGAACTGTTTCTTACTATATAATCAAGTAAAGTAAAGGTAAAGGTAAAGGTTTCCCTTGCACATACGTGCTAGTCGTTTCCAGCTCTAGGGGGCAGTGCTCATCTCTGTTACAAAGCTGAAGAGCCGGCGCTGTCAGAAGATGTCTCCGTGGTCATGTGGCCAGCATGACTAAACGCCGAAGGCGCACGGAACGCTGTTACCTTCCCACCAAAGTGGTCCCTATTTTTCTACTTGCTTTTTACATGCTTTTGAACTGCTAGGTTGGCAGAAGCCGGGATAAGTAATGGGAGCTCACTCTGTTACACGGTGCTAGAGATTCAAACCACTGAATTGCTGCCCTTTCTGATCAATAAGGTCAGCGTCTTAGCCACTGAGCCACCACGTCCCATATACAATCCAGTAGTGAATTGTTAATGAAATCCATTTCCAGGGACTTAACGGTCCTGTCATGATTGGTAGTGAGAAATGTGAGCTTGAAGAAATTTTTGCAGAGTTTGGCTAGCACTTTGTTTCTTTATATGCTCTATTGTTATATCTTGGGACTGGACGTGTTTTTTTAGAAAATATTTTAGCATTAGCACTTTTTAAGAGACTCAGTGGTGCAGTGGTTAGAGTGCAGTATTGTAGTCTACTTCTGCTGACAGCTGGATGCCTACAATTTGACAGATTGAATCTCACCAGGCTCAAAGTTGACTCAGCCTTCCATCCTTCTGAGGTGGGTAAAATGTGGAGCCAGATTGTTGGAGGCAAGATGCTGACTCTGTAAGCTGCTTACAGTGCTGTAAAGCACTATAAAGTGGTATATAAATCTAAGTGCTATTGCTATTTAGTGTCAGCCCTGAAGCCTGAGCTGAGGGATAGGGAAGGGGAATTGAGATAAAGGGGAACCTGTAGCCAAAACAACATATTTTTTCTTGGTAACCAAGGACATTCTCACACTGGTCAAAGAAAGTGATGCTATCTGCAATGATGCTATCTGGCTGCCAGCCCGTACTGTGATTGGACCATGTGATTGATTGTTTTGAGAAAGTAGAAAAGCTTTCAATCACATGGTCCAATAACAGTATAGGCTGGCAGCTGGGTATCATCACTCTGCCTTCCTCTGACCAGATGTGAGAATGTCCTTGGACAGCGACATCCGGTATCACATCATCTACAATTGGCTAAAGAAAGCAGAGAGATGGTTATATAGATTTCTTTAAAATTAAAATTGGCAATTCCTGTCTATCTTATTCAAGATGCTGAAACAGAAAGACATGGGTGAATCCATTTTACTTTTACACTTAGAAATCACTTACCGACCCCAACTTAGGCCTGGCTCCATTGGATCTGATTCTGGCAAATGGTCTCCAGAAAAGCTGACAGTCTGGATCCGATAGCCATGCTCATGGCCCCACTTATTGGTACAGTTGGATGCAAAATAAATGTATCTGGGCATATCATCATGGAGATGGAATGCTGCTTTGTTCTCAGTGTCCAAAACTTTCCTAACCTTTTTCATTCGATGGATCTTATTTTCTGGACTCCAAGGGGCCTGCAAGGTCTCAAAAGCCATGTCATTACCAATCAGGGTATTTTTCACACCTCAGAGAGAAAACAAGTAGAACAATCAGTACTTGAAAAGCTGTTGATAAATAAAAACATTCTTGTTGCATTTTCAGTTTCTTAAAATCAAATTGTTTATACAATATATGTTTGCTAACAAAGGGATAAAATTGTTATGTGTATGCATAATTAATTTTCGAGATTTAATCCAGTGTAAAAAATCATTGCAAATATTACGAATACAAAAATGATAAAGGTGAATTAAATATTTCAGGTAATAGTTCATTAGAACAAACCATTCTGTGTGGTTATTCAGTCTCCTTTCTTTATTTGCTAATATGTAGTTGAAACATAATAGTTTCCCATCTTTTAAATATATATTTGCAACTAGCTAATACAGTTTACAAATAATCAGAGTTGGAAGGGACCTTGTAGGTCACCTAGTCCAACCCTCCACTCAAGCGGGAGACCCTACTCCATTTCTGACAAATGACAGTCCAATCTCTTCTTGAAAGTCTCAAGTGATGGTGCTCCAACAATTTCCGAGGGCAAGCTGTTCCATTGGTTGATTGTTCTCACTGTCAGAAAGTTTCTCCTTATTTCCAGGTTAACTCTCTCCTTGTTCAGTTTCCATCCATTATTCCTTTGTCTGGCCTACAGGCACTTTAGAAAATAGCTTGACCCCTTCCTCCCTGTGGCAGCCCCTCAAATATTGGAAGACTGCTATCATGTCTCCCCTGGTCTTTCTCTTTACTAGACTAGCCAAGCCCAGTTCCTGTAACCGTTCTTTGTATGTTTTAGTCTCCAGTCCCCTAATCACCCTGGTGGCTCTTTTCTATACTTTTTCTAGAGTCTCAACATCTTTTTATAATGTGGTGACCAAAATTGGATGCAGTACTCTAGGTGTGGTCTTACTAAGGCTTTATAGAGTGGTATTAGTATCTCCCTTGATCTTGATTGTATCCCTCTATTAATACAATTTAGGATTGCATTAGCTTTTTTGGCACACTGCTGGCTCATATTTCACTGGTTGTCCACTAAGACTCCACACCTTTCTTTCTTTCTTTCTTTTTTTTGTAAAGTTTATTTGAGTTTTCACAAAGAGAAAAAAAATACAAATAAAACATCTTTTTTGAAAGTAGCGTAATCCCGGGTTACATTTCTTCGTACAGACACAAATTCAGGTTCATGCTCATTTTTATATTCTATTCCATATCTTATTACTATTTTACATTTTCTGCATAGCTTCTCCCCTCTTTTAATTTTCTCAGTTTTATTTTAATTATCTCATCTCAATTCAAATCATTATATTTATATTTTTTGTCTGTCCTGTTTCAATTATCTATTATCTTTTCTCATTAAACAAAATTTCTCCTGTAGTTACTGATTGGAGTATGACACCTTTATATCTTTTAAGTTTATCCATTTAACTCTTATTTAGGCTTCAATATTTTTTATAACATTCAATATAATACATAACTTTCCATGACAATGCCTTTGTATATTGGCAAAGAGGGTTTTTATCATTTATCATCTCTACTTGAGAAGGAACCTTGCCTAGAATTTAATTTAATTTAATTAAGGACCATTATGTTATTATAGTTTGTCACACACTCAACTACATGTTGAGACTGTGTTTGGCACTTTTGTCTACCTATTGAGTCCTTTCCAAGGACCAGGCATAGGTAGATCTGGATGTTTGATGGTGTTACAGATATTGCAGGATGGAAGCTCTTCTGAGTAAAACTACTTTTTGCAATTAATTGATAATTTGCCAATGCCGATGGTGTTCAAATGGTACTCTTGTAGTTTTTGGATTGTACCCAAGGCACCAATGACTTTTGGGACTACCTTTGCTTCCTTTGTTCTATTTCTTTAAAATTGTTTTATTTCTATTTGCAGTCTTTGTATTTTGTGATCTTCTCAATTTCATTCTCTTCTATTCTGCTGTCTCCAGATATTACCGTGTCCAGACTTTTTTGTCTTTCTTATTAACAAGTGTTAATTCCAGGGTGTTATAAGACAGGTAACTGTCTGTTTGAATTCTAAAGTCCCAGAGCAATTTAGCTTCTTCATTTTCTTCATTTTCAATGACTTTTTTTAATGTCCCACTAGTTCTTGCTTGCAGGCAAATGGTATTTTTTGCATATCTTCCAGTGCAGTATTATTGCTATGTGTTTTACTGCAGATTTGAAAGGAAACTACAGCCACCTATCTCCACAAACCCCATCTCAAACACACCAACAACAGCCAAGCCTCCTACAACTGACCCCAACCCATTAAGTTCACAACCTCTGGTGATCACAGAAAAAGAAGTGCAAGATCTATTTCACAGACAAAAGCCAGAAAAGCACCAGGGCCAGACAAGATAATTCCTTCTTGCTTAAAAGTCTGTGCTGACTAATTGGCCCCCATCTTCACCCGAATATTCAATAAATCACTAGAGACGTGCAATGTTCCTTCTTGCTTCAATGCTCTACTATCATCCCAGTACCAAAGAAGCCCTCCATCAGGGAACTGAATGACTACAAACCAAATTGCTCTAACATCTGTAGTTATGAAAATCTTTGAAATGTTAGTGCTGTCCCACCTGAAAACCATCACAGATCCACTGTTAGATCCCATGCAGTTTGCATACCGAGCAAATGGATCAATAGATTATGCTGTTAATATGGTTCTTAACTACATCCTACAACACCTTAAATCTCCAAATACCTATGCAAGGGTCCTCTTTGTAGACTTCAGTTCAGAATTCAATACTATCATTCCAGACATTCTTCTAACTAAACTAAACCAGCTAGCGGTACCTGAACACACTTGTAAGTGGATCATAAGCTTCCTAACAGACAGGAAGCAGCAGGTGAAGCTAGGCAGAATCACATCTGATACCTGTACAATGAGCACAGCCCCCTCCAAGGCTGCGTGCTTTCTCCACTTCTCTTCTCCCTATATACCAATGACTGCATCTCAAATGATCCATCTGTTAAAATACTGAAATTTGCATATGATACAATAGTGATGGGTCTCATTCAAGACAATGATGAATCCGCATACAGACTGGGAGGTTGTACAACTTGCCTCGTAGTGTAACTGGAACAATTTGGAATTGAACACATTAAAAACTAGAAATGGTGGTAGGCTTTCGGAGAAACCCTCACATACTACCACCTCTTACAATACTAGGCAACACAGTATCAACAGTAGAGACCTTCAAATTTCTAGATTCTATCATATCACAAGACCTAAAATGGACACCTAACATCAAAAAAGCACAACAAAGAATGTTCTTTCTGCGCCAACTCAGAAAGCTCAAACTGCCCAAACAAGGAGTTGCTGATACAGAGGGATTATTGAGTCTATCATCTGCACCTCTATAACTGTCTGGTTTGGTTCTGCAACCCAACAAGACAGGTACAGACTTCAGAGAGTAATTAGGACTGCAGAGAAAAACAATTACTACCAACCTCCCTTCCATTGAGGACCTGTATTCTGCATGAGTCAAAAAGAGGGCTGTAAAAATATTTACAGACCCCTCACATCCTGGACATAAATTGTTTCAGCTCCTACCCTCAAAAGGACACTATAGAACACTGCATACCAGAACAACTAGACACCAGGACAGTTTTTCCCTGAAAGCCATCACTCTGCTAAACAAATAGTTCCCTCAACACTGTCAAACTATTTACTTCTTCTCATCACTCCTTATCACCCATCCCACTTGTGACTGTATGACTGTAACTTTGTTGCTTGTATCCTTACGATTTATAATTGATGGTTTCCTAGTATGATTTGATTGCTTATTGTACCCTATGACTATTATTAAGTGTTGTACCTTATGATTCTTGATGAATATATCTTTTATTTTATGTACACTGAGAGCATATGCACCAAGACAAATTCCTTATGTGTTCCAATCACATTTGGCCAATAAAGAAGTCTATTCTATTCTATATCTATATCTGTCCTGCTGTTGCTTCAAGTCAGACAAGACAATCTTCCTCAGCAGCTAACTAGGTGGTCTGCTGTTTCTTCAGCTTCTTTGCAGAGACAGCGTTTGCTGTCATTTGCTGTCTTTGCAATTCAGACTTTGTACGCATTTGTTCTTGAGGCTTGCTCTTGTGTGGCCAGAATTAGTCCCCAGGTCACTTTCTTCAACTTTCTTGCTCTTAGCCATTTGACTGGTCCTGTTATCTGCTTTCCCTGCTACTTTTTAAGGTATTGGCCATGTAATGCTTTGTCTTCTTTCCTTTCTCTTCTTCATTTGATCTTTTTTTTGTAGGCCTGTTTAGTCTCTTCAGTATTCATTATGAAGAGTAGACAGAGAAGACTACAGAGTATACTAGAGAAGTATATTCTACCTACCAAGGATAATGGGTGGGTATGAAATGTTGCAAGTACATCAGACAGTTGAAGAAGAAGAAAGAGCATTGGAAAAATATATGAAGAACAACAATGAAAATGCACTGAAGCCAGTATACCAGGAAGGCTTACTGACTAGTGGAGAGAGCAAACTGGCCCTACAAGAAAGATAAAATGAAGAACAGAATTCAAACACACAAACACCAATCATATAACACCCCAGACTTAACAAGCCTTTTTGAAACTCATTGTGACATTCAAATCCAAAAGTTTTTGCCAGCATGCAGCATATAACTGAGTGTTCTATTGAAGACATAGGATTGTATATAGTATTTTGGAGTAATTTGAGGAACACATTGGTCAGGGGGTTGGTAAGGCCACACATGAGGAGATTCATAAAATATGTCTTGTGGACTTTTGTTTCTTAAAGCTATGGAAACCATATATTTGGGATTACACAATTATTTTTATATAGTTTTTGCATTTGCATCTTAGTGGAGACATCAGAGACAGGTAAAATACAACCACCAGCCAATTGTAGCCTCCACCTCATTGTGGAGGAACAGAAGGTGAGGAGCATTCTGAGGGCTGTGGACACTAGAAATATTGTTGGTTCTGATGGTATCTCTGGCTGAGTGCTTAAAGACTGTGCTGATCAGTTGGCTGGAATCTTTACCAGGACCTTCAATCAGTCTTTATCCCAGTCCACTATTCCATCTTGTTTGAAGGCTTCCACCATTGTTCCACTGCCAAAGAAGTTCCCTATCAATAATCTCAGTGATTACAGACCAGTGGCACTCACTCCTATCATCATGAAGTGCTTTGAGAAATTGGTCTGCCGGCACATCATTTCTGGCCTTCCACATATATTTGATAAACACGAGTTTGCATACAGAAGAAATAGATCTACAGAGGACGCTATAGCCATCACTCTTTACATTGCTCTGACTCATCTGGAACAGCAGGGGGGCTATGTGAAGATGCTTTTTGTAGATTTTAGTTCTGCATTTAACACAATTCTTCCACATAGACTAGTGTCTAAACTTCTGGACCTTGGACTTTCTTATTCAATCTGCCTTTGGATTATGGATTTCCTGTCTGGCCGCTCACAGAGGGTCAGATTAGGTAATCATAGCTCTTCAGCCCTTATTCTTAACACTGGTACACAACAGGGTTGTATGTTGAGTCCCTTGCTCCATATTCTTTATGTGCATGACTGCATTCCCACTTACGCTAGTATTACTGTTACGAAATTTGTAGATCATACAACAGTGGTGAGACTCATCTCCAGGGAGATGAGTCTGCCTACCGAGATGAGGTGAACTGGTTGCTTTCATGGTGTGGAGACAATATCTTGGTCCTCAACACCAATAAGACCAGGGAGCTTATAGTGGACTATAGAAGGAACAGATCAGACATCTAACCCTTGCTTATCAATGAAGACCAAGTGAAGCAAGTGGCCAGTTTTAAGTTTCTGGGTGTTACCGTAAAAAAGGATCTGACCTGGGGCGCTCACATTGCAGCACTGGTCAAAAGGGCCCAGCAGAGATTATACTACCTGAGACTTTTCAGAAAACAACAACTGAATGAAAATCTGCTGGTGACCTTCTACCGCTGCACCATAGAGAGCATTTTAACATATTGCACCTCTGTATGGTTTGCCAATTGCACAGTGGCGGATAGGAAAGCACTCCAGAGGGTTAATTTCATTTCCCAGAAGATCATTGGTTGCCCTCTCCCCTCTTTGGAAGAGCTTTATAGCTCCCACTACCTTAAGAAAGTTCAAAACATTCTCAAAGATCCATCTCATCCTGGGAACCCTTTTTCTGAACTATTACCATCTGGCAGATAGTACAGAATAATAAAAACAAGGACAAATAGGCTGAAAAATAGTTTCTGTCCCAGGGCAGTAACTCTATTGAATTCTACTGTATAGTGCAGTGTTGGTGCACTGTCGGGGTTTTCAGTTCAATGTGGGGAGTGTGAAGGATGTTTGCTTGTGTTTATTTTCATGGTCATGATATGCACTGAAGATGGTGTTTGATTTCATTGTATGAGGTGCAATGACAATAAAGTAAACTAACTAACTAACTAAAAAACCTGCACTTCCAATTTTCAGTAATGAAGATCAGTGTGGTTAAATAAGGGTCGGTTAAATGTGTGCCCTGTCTTAATAGGATATACATAAAACTTATAAAAATATTTACATATACTATTTTTTCAATCCTTCTTCTCACCCATGCAATATACAGATCCTCAATGGAAGGTAGGCTGGTTGCAATTGTTTTTTTTTTCTGCAGTCCTAACTACCTGTTGAACCTATTTGGTTGCTGTACCAAACTAGACCATTATAGGCAGACTCAGTAATTCCTCTGTAGAACTGTGTCAACATCTCCTGGGGCAGTACAAACAAATCAGATCAAGTTAGCCATTGCGTTTTGCTGGCTTATAAACAAATGAGTGAGAAAATACTCTTTAAAAATGTTTAGTTTTATTCCTCTGTCCTGAAATCACCCGCCAGTTCCGACTCCATCTGAAAACCAATTTAGAAATGTAACTTTAAATTGGAATACAGATAGTCCTCAACTTTTGACTACAATTGAGCCCAAAATTTCTATTGCTAAGTGAGACAGTTAAGTGAGTTTTACAACCTCATTTGCCACAGTGAATCACTGCAGTTAAGTTAGTAACATGATTGTAAAATGAATCTGGTTCCCCTATTGACTTGGTTTGTCAGAGGTTTGCAAAAGTGATCACATGATCCCAGAACAGTGCAACAGTCATAAATATGAGCCAATTGCCAAGCAGCTGAATTTTGATCATTTGACTATGGGGATGTTGCAACAGTTATAAGTGTGAAAAATGGTCATAAATTACTTTTTTCAGTATCATTGTAACTTTTTACAGTCACTAAATGAACTGTTGTAAGTCAAGGACTGCTTGTACAATATTGTTGATATCTGCAAGTATTTCAAAAGTGCTGATTTTAGAATCATTTCACATGTACAAGTCCCAGAAATATATGAATAATTATTACAGTTTGATGCCATCATATTTTACTAAGAAATCACTGATTTTATCTTTTTCTTATTCTGAAAATGCATATAGTACTTAAATTGAGTTTTGTTAGAAACCAAGTAATGAAATAAATATCCTTGATTAACAAAAAACTATTCCATGGACCAATGGACCACGGAATGGACCAATAAATAAAAAAAGAAAATCACAATTATAAAAAAAGAAATAATGTTTTAAACAATCTCATCACCTTACTTTAACACTTTTTAAAGAACATTACAAAAATAAAACTTATGTTCCTCACCTGTTGGAAGCATATTGTTGACTCTTTCTTTGTTGTAGTATTTACAATCATTAAAATAATTGTAAGAAAGAAAATTGAGGCAAAAACCCTATAATTTCCTTGAAAGTTAGTAACATTTTTCCTACTTACCACCAATATCCAAATCCACCTTGAAATGAATATTATGGGTATGAATTGTTCCCAACACCCATTCTTGGATTCTATTGCCAAAGTCTTCAGCATCACCAAAGTAAAATGAATTTTGAATATACCCACTGGCATGGACCCGAACACCAACAGCTCCATTTTGATGGAAAATAAAACTCCAGACATAGTCATAGTTGCCAACAGTAGATATAGTCCGAAACACCAGATTTGAATCTGCCAACCCTCCATAAAAAGGAAACTGGATGCTTTCATAATGCCGTCGTATGGATAATTCAGCATTCTGCTCAAAGATGCAGATAGCATTTTTACGGCTAACAGTTAATGAACTATCATAAAAAAAGTGCCAGTCTAAATAACTGGATAAATAAGGACAATCCAGACCTTGGGTGAGTGGAAAGATATGGGACCCAAGTCCAAAGCTGGCATCCATGTATCTAGTCAACATGGAAGTAGGACTGTTGGATCCATAGATAGCACTTGCTTCTTGCAAACTTAACTCATAGATTATTCTTTCTCCATTAAACCTGACATCAAAGATACGTGGACCCCTGCTTGCATCAATTCCAAATGCAAAACTCCAGTTCAGAAAAGTGACATGATTATTGTGAATCCTATAGCGTGGTCCACGGGGTTCATACTGCAAAGGGCCTGGATCTTTTGGTGGCACCCTCTGCTTCAGTGAAGAGTAGCCCCCATCAAGAGGGACTTCATTAACTTTGTCTACTCTAACCTTTCCCATGTTGAATTGTCTCTCAAGGTCGCCCATATCTTCAAAGTATTGTCCATTATAGAATACTTTTAATACCTTCCACTCAGAAACATCCAAGCTACTATGATCCACTTGGACTTCAAAACCAACTGGATGCAAATAGAAGCCAGACACATTCTGGAAATGACTCACCCACGTTTTGCGATCTCCTGATTTTAGCCCTGGTGGCATTTGTCTGCTATACCGAAGATTGCTTCCATTGTAATTTAGAACTTTTTGCATGAAATTTGGAGCCTTCGGGTATTCATTTCTCTTTAAGAAATTGCGGATTTCATGAAACTCATTTCTCGAAACCATCCTTTGAGAATAAGGCAATTTCCTTCCATATTTTTCTACTGTGATATCTTGGTGATATGTTGGATCTGGAAGTGGACCCACCAGATATTCTGTCACATTGGGCTCTGCCTGATTTCCAAAATGGACCACAGCCAGAGCTTCTCGTGGTGGCTGAGATCCTTGATTATCTAGGAATTGTAATACTTGTGCTTTGGGAGGGAGCTGCAAAGTGATGAAATAAATGCAGTTGTCTGATTGTTTGGCTTGAGGCGTCTCCACCAGTGGCACTCCCAGGTTGGACTGTAAATAACTCTTTACTTGCATTATCTCTTCTGGGGTTAAATCTTGAAATACTTGACTGCCAATATCTTGGCCACCATCCTCTTGCCCCTTTTTCTGGGAAGAGCTCTCACATTCTTTGGGTTTTTCTCCTCTATTTTGGAAACTCAAGACTAAGATAATAATGATGGTGATGCCTATTGCTATGAGAGAATAAATCACTTTCAACTTCATCTTCCCAAACCTATGGACAAAAATATAGGTTATGGTTTGTTAAATTTCAAATTTTTATATTTTTAATCCTGGACACAAATATTAAAGACACTTGTTAAGCATGTAAGTTTCAAAAGTATAAATTTCTTGCATTTACAAAACACTGTAGAAATTGTGCAAAGATAGCAATCTTATATATTCACAAATTCAAAAATCTTACCATCCAGTCAGGATCCTCATTTTTTTTCATTGGTTAAAACCAGAAAGTCAGAAGAACGCAATGGCTGCACACTTCTAAATGGACTAGAAGGTGAGCTCAAAGCAAATGGGATTTTATGCTTTTTTAGGCTACGTTTTAGGTTTGCAATTTCTCACTATGCACTTGGTTAATTTTTTGTTATATCAGGAAATTATACATAGATTGAAAGGGAGGGTAAATATTATGTAAATGTTCTTAAAATTATGTCTTTTGATAACATACTATCCAGGAAGTTTCTGAAAGAAGACTAGAAGAGCACTGAGATTTAACAGATTTTTGTTCTGTTACCTTGTCACCCAAATCAAATATCTCTCCTGAGCAAGTTTCTTGAATCTGTGATCTTTATAAAAATAAGACTTAAATAATGTAGCAAGAGGGAGAAAGCTCAGAATTGTTATTTTCCTATATTTATCCCAAACATTTAGTAGGTTATGGAGGACTGCATGATTTCTTAAACTTTGTTTATTTCTATGTGTCTCATTCCAGATGTATATATGTATAGTTTAGGGAAAAAACATCAGAGACAATCCATTATGAAATCTATGTTAAACCACTGTCATGACCACACAGTCTCAGATTTGGATCCACAAAGCCATCTCATTCTCTTCAGTCCTACAATTATTTTCAGGCAACTAGTGTTACTGTATATGTAGCATCAACAATATTAAAGATATCCTAGGCCCGTGATAGCGAACCTATGGCACACATGCTACAGGTGGCACGCAGAGCCCTCTCAGTGGGCATGCCAGCCATTGCCTCAGCCCAGCTCCACCATGCTGACCAGCTGGACTTCAGATCTCTGCCGCACATGCATGGAGGGGTGGGGTGCATGTGCAGGGCTGCTCGCATTGCATTTTAGGGTCTTGCACAGTGCCCCCGTGCCCCGTTTTGGCTTTCAGGTTGGTGCAGGAAGCCTTCCAGGCCCAAAATGGGGCACGGGGAGCACCAACCTAGAAGCCAAAACAGGGCATAGGGGGCAGCATGTGCCCCACGTGCCCTCTTTTGGACCTGGAAGGCCTCCTGCACCAACCTGGAAGCCAAAAATAGGCAAGGGAGGCAGGGCGTATGTGGCAGGGTCAGATGCACATGTGCAGGGGCGGGGCATGCAGGGGGGTTGCACATATGTTGCATTATGAGTGTATAGTTTAGTATTACATTAATACAATTTTAAACTTAAAGATGTGATTGAGCTAGGCAAAATTATATGAGTTAAAGAACTGTTAGGGATCTGCTTGATTGAATCATAGACTCACTGGTTTAGAAGATGCCTCGGGGGTCTTTAGGTCCAACTGCCCAGAGAAATAATTCTCTAACCTTGAATTAAGATTCAAAGTGCAAGCTGTTACTGTCTGAGAAAATTACTCCCTGAGGAAATTCTTCCTTATTTTCAGTTTGGATCACTCTCTGCAGAGCTTCACTCATTGTCCCTTCTACCCTGTCTTCAGGATAATAAATCCACACCTTCCTTTCTGTAACAATCCCTCAAATGTTGAAACACAGCTATCTTGCCACCTCTTAGCCTTCTTGTCTTTAAGCTAGTGTTGGTGAATAATCTGTGGACTTTCCTGGACTCCAAGCTCCTGATCAATGAGCTGTTTGCAACCATGGCCCAAAAGACTTTTGCACAGGTTCCTCTTGTGTAGCAATTGCACTCATGCCTAGACTATGACTCCTTGATCATGGTGTCTCATATCTTTAATACCTTCTGTTTGGATTACTATAATGTGGTAACATCACTGCTCAATTAGCTGCTGGGCTGATTCCCAATAGGCTTCTAGGTGCAATTCAAGTTGTGGATGATCACCTACAAATGTCTCCACGGCATAGGACAAAACTATACATCAGAACACTGTAGTTTCTGCCCACCCACCAGATCAAGAAGAGGGGACAGCCTCTAGGTACCTTCTATTAAACAATATTATCTCATGGGACCCCAGAGTCATGCCTTCTCAGTGATGGCACCACTTCTTCTAAATATCAGGGAAATAATTAAGTTCACTTTGAAATGAGACTCCTATTACAGGACTGATTCTTATTTCCTTTTTAAAATAGTAATTTTATTACCTATGACAATTAAAAAGATAAAAATAAATTAATTTAATCTTAACAAATTAAAAAGGAAATAATAAAAAAGAAAGTACATCAATTAAAAAATAAAATAGAAAAGAAACACTAAGATTATAGTAAAGAAAAAAAATGTGTCTCCTCCCTCATACCAAATACAACTAAGTCTAGTACCTTATTGCCTTCTCTTAAAATACAATAAATCTCTTCTTCCCATATTCCAACTCTTATATATAAACAAATCCTTAAAACCTGCCATTCATTGTTTTGCCAAATTTTTATGATCAGCAAAAGTTGCACTGTCACCAGAGAAAACAACACTTCATCTTTAACCTTGACCAAATATACTGACCTTATATTCCTTCTTTTTTACTTTTAATAATCATAAACTTTAATCTCTTCAAATAATTTCAAGGTTGATTTCTTTTCATTTTTTCTTTGGCTCTTCTTTAAAAATTCTTAAAAGTTTTAAGAAGTCTTTTTTTGTAAATCCAATATAGGAAAGTTACGCAGGTTTGTTGCTTATTAATTATTAAGGCTTCATTTCTATGCCCTATCAATTTCCATATATTCTTGCAGCCTGTAATTTTTAATCCACTTTCAGGTCAGTCTCAGTCTTGTGTCTCCTCTTTGATAATGACTCAAAACTGGAACAAGCAGATTTTATATCATGTACAACTCAACAAGAAAAAAGGGAAAATCATTTGCATATGCAAAAAAAATAAATGCATAACAACAGTTGTTAGGGCATTATCTTCATTAAAATAAGTTTGCTGAATCATTTCATTGTGAGATTAAAATGTTTAGATATTTCATTGACTGAGTTTGAAGAACACGCCAAACCAAAAACAGCATCTTTTTGTCTGAGGTTCTGAGAATATGCTTAACAGACAAAATAGTTGTTGGAAAAGAAGTGCTTTTTATAAAACATGCTGTATGCTCCATGAGTTACAATCACCATAAATTGTCTTTACTACCTCTGCTGCTAATCTCTTCCCTTTCTTTTGAACAGGTATTTTAAATTACAAATGGGATAATTTGTAAACACAAGGGATCATTACATGACTCTATACATTTACACTTCATTTAGGAAGAGTGTGTGGGTCTCAATAGTTGGCTTGTAGCCAAAGCCCCTCTGGAAGATAATAGATAACAGATAACAGATGATCAGAGTTGGAAGGGACCTTGTAGGTCATCTAGTCCAACCCCCCGCCAAGCGAGAGACCTTACACCATTTCTGACAAATGGTAGTCCAATCTCTTCTTGAAAGTCTCAAGTGATGGCACTCCCACAACTTCCGAGGGCAAGCTGTTCCATTGGTTGATTGTTCTCACTGTCAGAAAATTTCTCCTTATTTCCAGGTTAACTGTCTCTTTGTTCAGTTTCCATCCATTATTCCTTGTCTGGCCTACAGGCACTTTAGAAAATAGCTTGACCCCTTCCTCTCTGTGGCAGCCCCTCAAATATTGGAAGACCGCTATCATGTCTCCCCTGGTCCTTCTCTTTACTAGACTAGCCAAGCCCAGTTCCTGCAACCATTCGTTGTATGTTTTAGCCTCCAGTCCCCTAATCATCCTGGTTGCTCTTCTCTGTACTTTTTCTAGAGTCTCAACATCTTTTTTATAATGTGGTGACCAAAACTGGATGCAGTACTCTAGGTGTGGTCTTACTAAGGCTTTATAGAGTGGTATTAGTACTTCCATTGATCTTAACTGTATCCCTCTGTTAATACAACTTAAGATTGCATTAGCTTTTTTGGCTGCTACTGCACACTGCTGGCTCATATTTAGCTGGTTGTCCACTAAGACTCCAAGATCCCTCTCACAGTTACTGCTATTGAGCCTGGTTTCACCCAGTCTATATGTGTACTTTTGGTTTTTCTTGCCTAAGTGTAGAACTTTACTTTTCTCTATATTGAATTTCATTTTATTATGTGTAGATATTGTTAGGAATGTAAGTCACCTAACAGCTATTTGGGTTGGAAATATATAAACAAGGATAGACATTTTAATACTGTATCTTTAAGAAAATGCAAAAACTGTAGTTGGGTGTGATTTCTCAAACGGCCATAAGATGGCGCCAGAAACCTGGGTTGTCTTAGTCTTAGTCTCAGAAGAGAGTGTTTCTCAGTGAGTCTCTGTTTTCCTTCTGTTGGAGAATATTTCCTGTATTGACCGATATTCATGGATTTGATGTAAGTCTGATACTGAACTGTTTTTGACACTGGACTTTGTTATTGGATTATCCCTGGACTAAAACTGACTGATCTTACCTGTGAATGACTTTGGACTGCCTATTTTGAACTTCGCTTAAACCTTTATTGAAAGTAAAACCCTACATTTATTGTACAGTGTATCTGTGTGCTGTGTGTGTATTATTCAAACACTACTCTCAATAGGTCTCCCTGTATGCGCTCATTCTCCTAACGGGGAATTACCACAACAGATATGGCCCAGTGTTCTAGTCTGTCAAGATCCATCTGGATCTTGAGCCTATCTTCTTGAGTGTAAGCTATTCCTGCCAGCTTAGTATCATCTGCAAATTTGGTAAGTTCCCCTTCTATTCCCTCATCTAAGTTGTTAATGAAGATATTGAAGAGTATTGGGCCTAAGACGGAACCTTGTGGCACCCCACTGCTTACTTCCCTCCATGTAGACTTAGACTCATTAAGGACTACTCGTTGAGTATGGTTTGCCAG